ACTAATGGGAATAAAACATTGAATTTTTTTTAAAAGCCAAAAACCTGTTTGTATATGTTGGTTTAAAAGAGAAAAAATTTAAAACTTTAACTGGTGAATAAGCTTCAGCTATAGCCCATTTGTCAAATGACAAACAGCAGTGATCTGCTTTTAATGAGTGAGTGCTTTAGAATTTAGTGCCTGATTCTTTCTTTTAAGAGACTGAAAACATTGCTTGACATTCTATGCTCACAAAAAAAAAAAAAAAAGGAGACAGGGAACAGTAATACCAAAATTCGTATGATGGGCATCTTATCATTGACTATTGTATATACTTTTTAAAATTATGGTGAAATGTTCCATGCACGGTTAAAGTTATGTTTTGTTCTAATTGCACTTAGTTATTTGCCAAATTTTTCTTCTGTTCTTAGGCCTGTAAAAATTCAATCTGTCTTGATTTATCTACCAATTGTTTGCATGGAAGATTAACAGGAAACAAAGTAGTGAACTGGGACATTAAGGTAAATTAATAATAAACGTTGGACAACATATAAGTTTACTAATCCTTTTAAAGATTTTTGTCTTTTAAGTACCACCAGATTGTTGTGAATAATAGATCTTAGTTAAAATGTTATGCAGACGTATAATATGAAGGATAAACAACTGCAAAGTTAAATGACTGATTTGCTTGAATAAGCAATCAGATTACACTAGTTGAATAATTGCTTTTGTCATGGGTATCTGTAGCACTTTATTATTTCACTTATCATGGTGAATAGTAACACTTGTTTGCTTGACTAGTCCTTAAGAACTTTGAAGGAAGGGCCACTAGTTTTTTCACCAGTGCCTGGTACAGGGATATGCAATCAATAATTGCTGACTGAGTGATTAAATTAGTAAAGGTTAGTTAGGCTGATGTGAAAGAGATTCTATTTCTTAAATATAGTATTTCCTTGAAAGATATCTTAAATAGAAGTTACAGCCTAAGTAAAAGCAAAAGAAATATAAAAGATAGTTATAAGGGGTCTTGCTGGTAAATCACCAAAAAACTTTTCTAGTCAGTTAACACCAATCAACTACGTTTATTGTTTCAATGGAACAGAAATCATTAGGATAATGTTGCCTGTGTAGAAATAAATCCATCAATTAATATTAGTCTCATGTTATTCATGTTGTATAAAGCATTTTTCTCTTTAATTTTGGGATAAGAACACTTATCTGTTAACAGTAAGACTTACGACAGGATTGACAAATTCATAAGTTAACTTTTGCTTCATTTGTAAGATTGGTTTTTACAAAGCTAGTTCTATGTAGTATTATATATAGAAACCTAATTATTTATGCCATATAGACCTGAAAATCTAAAAATTAAAGCAGCTTTGGTGCCTTGAGTTGCAGCCATGTGGACTAACTAATCAGACTTTTGCCTGATGTGGAAATTAAAAAGGAACAGAATTATCAAGAGAAAGACAACTTTATTTATTTATTTTTTTTACTGCAGCAAAATCAAAGACAAATGAAATGACTACTGGTAAAAAATATTTACCATCCAAAAAGTTAATTTGCTTACTCTACAAAGAGCTCTTAAAAATCAGTATGAAAGGCCGGGCGCGGTGGCTCA